TCTGAGGTTGCATTTTGTTCCTTCTCGTCATTTTGTGTAGCACTGTCTTCTGCCCTTTGTTGTAGATCTTTGCTGTAGTTATAACCTTCACATGTACTGAAGTTGGAGCTCTACAGAGTTTGGAGTTATCCAGCTGCATCTGGCTTAGGTCTGGCTGCTGTGCTCAGCTCCTTCCTGCTGCAGACCTGGGCTAGGACTAGGTCTGGGGGTTCCCGGAAGTCGGCAGAAATTCCTACTGGGCAGGAGGTGTGGGGGAGGTACGGCGGAGTGGTGGGGGGCGGCCCATGCTGCCCCTGGGCTGGGACTGGTCCCGCCGGCGCAGGTTAGCAGGAAGCTCTCCACACACTCACCGGACCTGGGCTAGGCAAACACTGCATTCTTGATTTATCATCATATCACAACTCCTGGACTAATTCCTTTTCTATTTTTTTTTTAAACTGGTTACACTATTTGCCTCAAAATAATGCTGCTTTCTTACTCGATGAGCCCAAGGAGAGGAAGGGGGGCTAGGAGTAGCGTGTTTTTACCACTCACTATCTGTGTGATGCTGGCCAGATTTAAACTCTGCATAGCTCAGCTTCTCCATGTATGAAATGAAGATCATGTAACTGTAAGGACTGAGTGAGATAACCTGTGCCCTGGTAAACACTGATGAAAAGTTAACTGTAAATGTTACTCCTGCTACCTTAAGAGTAACCACTAACATACCAGTTGTTTTTGTTATGCAAATATAAGACATATTCCATTTTTACTACACAGGATTTTTGATAATTTGAATTTATCAAATTTTCTTAAATTTACCGAAGCCATTAAAATCTTTGTGCTTAAATATAGCTTACCTCATTTGGTATTATTTATACTGAAAGCCCTTATATTCTTTTGTATTACTTATACCATTATTTAGATGAAAATTGACCCAGATAGTAATTAAATTATTTTATAAAAATGAGCCACATCATTGTTATGTCTGCTCCATTTATTATGAAATAGAAAGATATATAATGAACTGGTTGATACTTCAGTTCAGAGATAACTGAGATGTTCAATTTTCACATTATGCTCTACTTAAACTATAAAATTTATCTCTACTTTTAGGAAATCAATCAAAATTAGAAAGTATAAAACAGTATCAAGAGGAAAATGTGCAGTTCATTTTATTAAAATATTCCCTTTCTATTATGTTCCTTGATCACTTAATTTTCAGTAACATGTAATAAATTACAGTGTAAGCTGCAGTCACATATTTTTCCCTATGTGTAATAACATTGACCTTTATACACTCTACATCCCATAATCAGCAGCAGAGATAATTTTTAGGAGTATATATACAGGAGAAAACCAAGGCACACGAAAAGGCTTTTGAACATCTTGAGAGGAACAATGGGGCCGTTCAGGGCCCTGGCTTCCCTCTTAGTCCTACACCTGCTGCAGGGCTCACACGCGTCCCTCGTGCAGCTGAAGGACAATGGCTATGAGGACGTCATCATTGCTATAGATCCTGGTGTGCCAGAAGATGGAGAAATAATTGAACAACTAAAGGTGAGGAGAAAGGGTGCTTCTTCTATATGAATTGGGGGGGGGGGAGCTACTAATGATGGGCTATTTTGGAACTCTGAACGCTATGGAAGTTTAGAAGCTGCTTGGTGTGGTGAGGACAGTGCTGCAGGGGCAGAGGGAGACAGAGCTCTGGACAGGGTTCCACCCGGGCTCACCACAAGACCAAAGACAGGCTTTGGTCCTCCCTGAGCCTCAGTTTCCTCATCTGTAAATCAGCTGTTGGACTCATACATTGTGTGAATAATTATTTACTGAATGCTTATGGCACCCTGGAGGAAAAAATAATGAAAGAGGAAAAAAACCTTTGACTTCATGCAGTACAGTGTTATAAACTGAATAGAGCGGACCAGGCGATACAGTAGCAGGGTGCAGTGGAGTGGACTAAATCAGGAAAGGAAGATACAGGGTGTGGGGTGTGGCTGGAGTAAGAGGAGAATGAGAGGCACTGTGGAGTCAGGAAGACCTCACTGAGGGCGTGGCATTTGGCCGGAGCCCACCACGACTGAAGGAAGAGGCCCCTGGAAACCTGCAGGATGGGAAGAGGACGGAGGTGACGGCCCGCTTGATGTGACACAGGAAACAACGGTGAATGGGCAGAGGAAAAGGTGCAAGAAGCTGAAGCTGGAGCGAACTTGGGAGTACGTGGGCTGTTCTTCCCATGCTCCCGTGCACGTGCCGGGATCACTATGCCTGAGGCAGAGGCAAATGGCGGGAGGTCCGCAGTTCACTCACCCTGTAGAAACACTGTGGCCTCATACAGGGCAGAGGGCCCCAGGAGGGAGTTGGAGCAGATGAGAATTGATGGTGACTAGGACAGGGAAGATTGCAGTTGCGAAAATGTTTTGAGGGTGTCATACACAGTATTTCCTGGTGGTTTAGATACATATGGGATAAGGTGGACAAGAAGGAAATGTAAGGGCTGAAGAGGCTCTGAAAGTCTTGACTCAACGGTTGGAAAGCTGGAACTATCATCAACTGGGAAAGAAAGACTGAAAGTGGGAGAAAAGTTAGTGTTTGGAAATCTGCGTTTAGCACATTTGTAAGTAGATGTGCTTCTTGGACATTTATGTAGATTAAAATAAGAATCTGATTTCAGGGCAAAAACTTGTATGTAGATAAAGTATTGACAGTGACCAACATGCAGATGATATGAGTCCATACATGTCAGGAAGAACATGCAGAGGAATAGAAAGGCTCTGAGACTGACCCAGAGACTCTAATTTGCTAATGTTTTTTCCAATAATATTTCATGTACAACAGAGGTTGCTATTTAAGCTGTATGATTATTTTCTCTTTTCCTGACTTCAACATCTAACAATTCCTTATTTTTGATTCCTTATTTTTGAACTCTCCCGGGTCCCAAGGTTCACTGCTCAAGCCTTCTAAGGCACAGGTGAGACCAGGCGACTCCATGGGTGCCATCTATCATCCATTCCTTATAAATGCTGTAGGAGCACAGAAGTATTTGCTTATTGATACCTTTTGAATTCCAGAAGAAATAAAGATTGCTTTTAGTAAGGTATATAGGCATGAAAGCAGATAACACAGCTGATTCAGAGTTACGGACTATTAGTGTTCAGAGATAAAATCGGGTTCCAACTTTTATGAACCCAGATACCAGTATTTATACAATTGCTTTTAAAGGCCAAAGTTTAAAATGGTCCTCTTTTGAGTGCTACAAGTAAAAGTTTAATTCTGTTTTATGCAGATATACCTAGATGTCACAGAGTTTCAGTTTTCTACAAAATGCTTGCATCTATATCAAGTAATCCTGAGCAATACCATCATTCACATCATACAGAAAAAATGAGGGCTTTCAAAAGCCAAATGATTTTGCCAAGGTTGCATTAAGACAATAATCAGAACAAAGGAAAGAAGAGAAAGGGAGGGAAGAAGGATGGGTGGGTGGTAGGTGGAAAAAAATAGGAAAAAACATAACCTTAGGATGGAAATGGAATGCTTTCATCTGTCCATCCTATTTGGGAGCCCTCTGAAGCTCCTTTCCTAATTCCCTCCAGGTCCTCTTGACCTTCGGTTCTGTGAACATTGGCCTTCTGACTCATGCTTCTGAACTCAATCAATTTGTTGACTTTGTAAGGTAAATGTGAGTTCAACACATTGGACTCTTCTTTAAGAGAACCTGGAATGAAACCTAGGAATTTCTAAAGGACAGTCCTGTTTAGGGATTATTCTAGTGCAGTAAGCATCACAGAGGAGCCTGTCTGTCCAATAGATTGGGATACTCCAACAAGATGAAGAAGACTTCATCATCCATCACCTAGAATTTGTCAATTATTCAGTAGGCTTCATAACATAGAACAAATGATGCTCAATGCTCTTCACTCAACTATTTTTTAAAATTTGGTTCATTAGTATATGAGTACTAATACTTAAGGTTCACATTCCTTGTGTGGGGTTGGTATATGTACATAATACATCTTAATGCCTTCTTCATCTCCTTTCCCTTCCATACCTCTCCCCTCAACCCATACCTTGAGAACTTTCTTCTGTTTTTTGGCTAGAGAAATATTTGCAGTTCATAATGTTTGCATTCCTTGTGTGCAGTTGGTACTACATTTACCACATACACAAAATATCCCAATTCCTTTTTCTCATTCCTCATCTTTTCCCTCTATCACCCCTCCAACTCTTGATCTCCTTTCCCTCTGAGAACAATATAGCTCCCTTCTATTATCTATTTTTCACTTTGCTCTTCACCCAACTGTGTCTCCCAACAAATGATAAATCTTGAAGGAGAACAACTTCTGTTATTCATCATGCTAAATTTAGGTTCAAATTTCCTTTCAGCTTGGTGGCTAAGTAACAGTTTTGAGGTCAAAGTTAGGTTTCTTCTTTGCACTTCACCATAACTATGCTCATCGTGTTCCAGCTCAAGTACCTCACACGAGAGGGGTAGGAAGAAGAGAGCTCTTCCTAATACTAACTCCTATAGATTGTTTTCCACAGTCTGCATCTGCTAAAGCTGTTCCTCACCCAGATTTCTTCCATCAGGAATTATATCTGTTTTAGGGCTACTGATGTACATAATACATTCTTTCTTTATGCCAACCATTAAGTCAAGTAACATAACAATGATCCACGAAGACTTGAAGAAGTTGAACTTTAGAGCATTGCAGAAATTGAGCAAGATCTGTTACCTAGAAACTGATGACACCACCATAGGAATCAAGGAAATGACTCCAAAACCCATGTACATATTTGTATTAATCAGTTCCTCTAAACACCAAGCGTAGACAGTAGCCTTTAGAGGTAAGAGTAATGAAAATTGATAAGCCTTTCATCATGCAGGGTAAAGTAGAGGTTTAGGATTGACAGGTGGCAGATACAGGACAGTGACAAAGACCCTGCTCATCATTCAACTGATTTTGAGTTAAAAATTAAAGGTGGTGCAACTAGAGATCACACTCATGAGTGAAATAAATCACACCCACATATGCAAACATCGTATTGTCTCACTAGTGTGAGAACCTGAAAGAGTAAATAAAAATCTCAAGGGCACAATAAATACTGTGCAAGGGAAAGAGTCTGTCCAAAGGGAAGGAAAACCTGGGATGAGGAAAAGGACAGGAGAGAGAGGGAAAGGCAAGAAAGATATATTCATGCATGCATTCAGGATGGCTTGGATAATTGTACTGCTGATTTCTGCCGATTTACAGAGAGGAGCACTCAATGCTTAAACTTTAGGGGTTTTGTTCTTTTTTCTTGTACTTTTTCTTACAACTTTCTTCTTGCATTTTGTATGCTTATATCAGGTAATCGAAACAAATAATTTGAAGACAACATTATGCAATACAGCATCCATTGCTCAATTCCTATTGATTTGTTTGATGAAGTTCTGTATCACTTATAATGTCTTTGTTTTTTTAAGATTGTACATTCTCTTTAGATAATAAGAAAATGCTCTCTAAAAAAATTAATGGTGATGGGGCCAGGGAGATGGCTCAGTAGAATAAGTGCTTCCTTGGCAAGCGCAGGGGCCTGAGATCAATCCCCAGTTCTGCCAAAAAAAAGAAAAAAGAAAAATTAAAGGTGGGCAATGCCTGAGATGACCACTGCTCCCTTAGCTGTCCTCACATATGCTTTCCCTCTGACAATAGGCCATGGTGACCGCAGCATCTACTTACCTCTTTGAAGCCACAGAAAAAAGATTTTTTTTCAAGAGTGTGTCTATATTGATTCCTGAGACTTGGGCAC